AGGAAAAAAAAGGGGCCTCAAAATGGTTAATTGTCCCGTCAATGTAACGTGGCTAAAAAGGAGCTCATGAATTCTTCATAGGAGCTTCTAGAGCTGGTTCTCATTAATCCAGCTCCTTCTAGGAGGAGACCCATACTGCTTGGAGTGATTGTGTTGCTGCTGTTATTTCTTACTTTAATCGGTGTGCTACTCTACTACTATTTGTTTCGTCCCGCAAAGACCGAGGATGACATCGAATACTTTCACCAGGAAGTGAAATCTCCACCTGTAGACTTTGACAATGTTGTAAGTTAAATTTTATTAATTTGGCTGTGTGATCTCTTTGTTGTTTTGCCTTTTATTTCCTCATTACGACGTATCCACTTTTTTCTGGCTCGAATTATATTTTTCTCTTTAATCATAGTATCAGCGTAAGTCATAGCTCATCTGTGGGCAGTGGTGTGGGTGTAACTATCCTTATTACTGTGGTTTGTATCACTTCGATCTCCGACATCCTTGTGACAGCGGTGGGCAAATAAGCAGATCACACAAAACCAACCATTTGTTACGGTTTTTATCACAATTAAAGCCTTGGTGTGTTTTAGAACGACAAGTTCGTGAAGTGGTGCTGATGTAGGAGAGGTACCCGGTTTGTACCTCTCCAGACGCGCTGTCATCATGGCGTCGATGGTAATATCCTGCGATGAACGCGCAGTAAGGGAGTAGAGAACAACTAGACATACGTGAGAGAGCGCAGTCAGGTAGCTCGTTTGTTCATGGTTAGGCGTGTGGCTGACCGTACGGCAGCGCGTGCGGAATCTGGAGGCTGCACGCAGGAGGCGGCACACAGCATCAACTCTCCAGCCCAGTTTTTGATTTTGTACCAGAGGAAGAAACAGGCTAATGCAGATGCGGACCTTCTAATCTCGCAGATGACAACTGCCAAGATCCGCGGAGGTGGGTGTGCCGTTTGTCTTTGACAACATGGTGTATGCGGTTTATCTTTTCCATGAGCAAGGAGAGCAGGTTTGCAGCTGTTCAAGGTAATCACATCATGGAAATGAGTGGTAGTGAAGCTGGAGGGTCGTGAAAGCTGGATCTTCTCCAATGTCCCCCCTCAGTATTCGACCCATGTTATGCACTATGGCTATTGCCAACATGTCCGGTGCGGGAACAGGACCATCATGCTTCTGCAGCGAAAGAGTTGGCATCACGTCCACAATGAGCAGCATGTGCCGAAGACGTGCTGTATAAAATGATGGCCGCCTCCCGTAAAACGAGAGGGAGTAGAGTCAAGTATAGAATCAAGTATTGCGTCTGGATATGGATAGTCGCATGCGGCGTGTTGCGTGTTTATGACATTCTTTGTTTGCAGACGGGAACATAAACGAAAATAACAGCTATTACCCCCACTCCCCCCCCTCCCAGTTCCACTGGCACGCTCTTCGAATTGGCAAAAGTGATACTCTTCTACAACTGCCACGATTTGGACCAAGGTGTACTTTACCACAGTTGCGCTTGAGCGCTCTTTTTATTATTGCGAAGTGTTTGCGAAAAAAAAAACGCTTGGGAGAGACTCACCCTCAGTCTGACTGCAGCCCCTTCTTGCATTAGCATGAGCTCCTGTTCCACTCCTTTTTTTGCAGGAAGAAGAGTTAATCGGAAGGGCAGCCCCGATGTATATTTCCAGCTACAGGCCATACTACGTTGGACCAAAGCGGGTTCCTATGTTCCATAGTCAAAGGAGAACCTCATGGCATTCCAGAGAAACTACATCAAGGCATGTGTTATTTGTATTCGTTTTTTCTACTACTGTTAAATACTTTTTATTTTTTTTCTGTTGTTAATTACAGGGCCTCCACTTTTTTGCTACTGTTATTATAGGACCCAAAGGAAACCATCTGTAATTACAAGCCGTGTAACGGCCAGTGGTATAGCCAGTACCAGTACTGCACCACCAGTAACTATTCTCGAACCCAGTGTGTCGTCCTGTGAAAATACGTCTGATTCTTCCGGTAACACTCGTTTCAAACAGCGATTATACTTTGCGAGTGTGAAGAATACGCGAAAAGTAAAGTATACGCATAGATATTGAGTATCGACTCATAGGTAACCGACCGTTCTTAGTTCTTATGTCACCGATTCTAGCGAACCGCGATTACGAAACAGGGCACATCGTTGGTTGGGGAATCCCCAACAGGGGGGTCGTATTTGGCCGCCAGGAGAGGGGGGGTCGTAGTGAGTGCGGCAGCCAGTAACGAGCAGCGCAAATTGTCAATGTGCTGAGTCCTGTACAACGAAACTTGCTTTGTAGAGAACTCGGATATGCAAAAAAATAGTACAAAACTTTCATCATCAAACTATCCGAAATAACTGCAAATATTAATAAGTCGACATTATCTCGTAAGTCCGTTGGTGACTAAACAGTACAACTCAAACTCTGGTTCGCTGCCAATGATATGGCGTGTCCGCGGTCGCGCTTGGCGCTGAGCCAACCTGTTTTTTCTCGACAAGCGACAGGACTACCATATCGTTCGTATAGGCGTTTTCCAGCAGTTGGTCTCCTTTATCGGAGTCAGCGATTGGCGGAGCACGAATCTGGCAGCGTTGACAGGGACATGTTCCATCATACGCAACGGAAAACACTGTAAACAAGTGCACAGGCTCGCCATGGACCTCCCTGAACCTTATAGACACATTTGCTCGCGTGAACAGACATTACGCTTAAACACATCACCATCCCATCACCTCTGCGCGGACCTCAATGCGCGGCGCATCCAAAGTTAGCGTGATCGGCGCTAAACGAACCATATCCTGCTCCTGCTCCACCACAGGATACGTTCTACATGCGTTCCTGGCTATTCGAACACGCTCACTTGAAACGGTGCACAGGAAACGGGTTTTTCGCGCGGCTGGGAGTGCTCCCTAAGAAATCCCCATCGCGAGATCTCATGAATCCCGAGAGCTTCAGGAACAGTTCAATAGGTTTTTAGAAAGAGAAAATCTTGAGAAGCTCGGATCCGTTCTCAGATTTGTGAAATGTTGAGTTACAAAAAAAATATATTGATTCAAACCTGTTCAACTTGAAACTTCAACCCTTCACTCCCCAACGAATCCCTATGGCAGATTTCTCTGTGATTTTCGCGACCTTCATGAACATTTTAGTACTTTCAGGAAGATCAAACCTTCTAATTTACCAATACGCTCTCCTCTTCCCCACAGGTCCGCTTTTGAGGAAGTTATGGTCCTTCAAAGACACCCTACTTTGCTGAAAATTCTCGCTCCATGGCTAATAGCCGTTTGCTCCAGTCAAAGCTGCAATTCATACCCAACTCTGCTACCGTACGATTTCTGCGGAAATTCTGCCCCTCAAATCAAGTGCACTGGGGTCCTGCGCACAACAACTGGATTTCCATTTGTTTTAACAAATCGTTGGAGATTCTTCGAGTTTGATTAGGCAACATGCCATTTATTTATCGTTCATGTTTATTGTTCCTGTTTTTTTTTTTTCTCCTTTTTCCTTCCTTTGCGCTCATAAGTTTTCCTAGTTTTACTGAGCGTTCAGAAATAGCTTTGAGATTCACGCGCTCTTCCGAGTTGTGTTTATTTCCTCTCGATTTTTTTCAGATTCACGTAGGGAACAATAAATAACAACTCGAAGCTATTCCTGAACGCTCACTAAAACTAGGACTTTTTTTTCCCATGTATATAGTTGTTTTTGTTTTACAATGAAGCTGAAGTCTGAAGCTTGTGTTTTTGTGTGAAAAAAACCAAACCAAAAAAAGGGGGGGGGTCGTACCGAACCCCCCAAAAAGGGGGGGGGTCGTACGAGCTCGACCAAAATCCCCATCGAATGCTGTGCCCTGTTACGAAAGCGGTGGTTGACGGAGGAATCGATTCCCATCTAATCCGTTGTCGCCGATTCAACGAATTCGCGCATATTCGCATTCGCAGAGTAGTAACGCGGCCATACTACCAAACTTTATCAGTGCAAAAGTTCGATCTATGCTTAAGATAAATTTTACTGCAGAAACTTCAAGTTTCCGAAGAAACTCCGCGTGCAACGGAAAGTGTTGGCAACAGTGACAACTACACTTGCAACGACATTAACACAGGATAACTCGGGAGAAGTACAGGTGACACGTTCCGCTTAGGATTTTCAGCTAGAGCTTTACTTCTGCAATTTCTCGGATCTGGCTTCTGGGTAGCGTTCAGACTTACAACGACGTGCGTCGAGGCGCTGTCAGAGCAACAGCGCTCCATCACCATGGACGAGGACGCGGCCTTATTCGAGTATCGATCGGCGTCATCCGCTACTGTTCTGGAAAAGTATAGAAGAACAGTAGGGTACCAGACTGTGAGGTTAAGCAGCGCGTACCATTCTGTACTCCTGAATTCTCTCAAAACTGAAGGGCCGTTGCCGATCGATAACCGCCTATGGCTGCGTTACCATTATATGGCATCGGAGCGCTATCGCAGTGGTAGCGCGTCGACGCTCGTTATCGCGAAGTCTGAACGCTGCCCTGTGTATTTTGTGCGAGTTCGGAATCATCGTTCGTCATCACTTGTAAAACCTGGGGACTTGGGGTATATTTCACGGGCATGTTTTGCATTCGATTCGAACATTCCGACTCAAATGCCGTTACCATCACCCGGGTGTCGTACAACACATCCCAGTTGTGGGGCAGCTGCGATATAGGAGTTGCAACTTTTGCAAATGGTGTCACATGCGTAGCATTCTGGATGGAAGCCCGGAAAAACCTGCACACTCTCGAGCGAAGGAATATTAAGTCGCACAAGCCACTTATTTACTGTGTTTTCCTACTCTGGATTACTTCTTGAGATCACTTTCTTTAGTTTTTCCTTGGAAATCTCAATTCTTTCTAACATAAGTTGTGGGAAAATGTTACGAGTTGCAGCTCATCTTTATGTTCCAGAAAGAATTCACTACAAATGTGCCGCTGGTTCTCATGTCAGAGGATGTGAAAAATGTTAGCGGGCAACCTGCTTACTTATTCTGAATGTTTCTACTCGTATCTGTATTAGTATGCCTTTTACAGGATTGCTCAGAACATTTGGATTCCGGAAAAGGATCAGGGATTTATCTAATTTCACCGAGTGGTGCCGTACCATTTCCAGTTTTTTGCGATCAAGAGACGGCTGGTGGAGGTTGGACGGTTATTCAGAGGTAAGAAGTCCTTAACATTGAGTATCTTGTGGTCAGCTTATTATTTTTTTGTATCTTACATTTGTTGTCATTTAGACGTGTAAGCAGTAAGGTTCACTTTCACAATCGTACATGGGACGAGTATGCGAATGGCTTCGGAGATCTTGATGGCTAGTTTAATATTGTAGTTGTATCCTTTTAGTTGTGTCAAAGCACGAATTGATGCAGTCGTTTTCGCTGCAGATGCTGGGGCGTGCCAGTGGCTGTGCTTGGCCTTACACTCCTCAACTTTTGAGTCTTATTGGCTTGGGCTTGAAAAAGTCCATCATTTGGCTCCTCGGACCGGTGACAGTTGGATTTTACGGATTGAATTAAACGGAGATTACTGCGCGGGTCATGGATGTATTGGCCAAAGTGACGGTTATTGGTGGGCAGAATGGCCTTTCAAGGTTCGTAGTTCACTTCCATTTACAAAATAAGTCGCAATTTTTGCCATTCTTGTAGTGATTTCTGAAGTTTCTCCTTATAGGCACTTATATTTTAGCTTGGTGACGCATCGCAACTTTATCTGCTCGAATTAGGCAGCGTAATTCGTGGAAATCTCACAGATGAAAATTCTGATTTTTTCCAACGCAACAACGGGCACCCATTTACGACCGTGGATAGAGACAACGACGATGCTGGCTCGAACTGCGCTCAGACACGGAATCACGGATTTGTTTCTGCCTTCCTGTTTTTTTTAACTCGATCTTTTCAGCAGTAATAGTAGTAAACACGGGAAATGCTCACAGGGCAACTTCTATATTGTTTCAAATTACCCCACTTTCTGGGATATAAGGCGCGCTTCTGCTTCACCTTTGTAAAGAAGCCGCTTTGAAGTGCTCTGGTTTTGGTCATGCTGCACGCTCTTTTATTACAAATGGTTTACCAATATTTGGTTTCATGCCCTCAAAATGGCGGTTCTTATATGTATAACCTTACCGAGTCAGAACAGGGGCATTGGTGATATACGCATCATTCGCACCGGGACCCATTTAATTCAACGTAGAAGTGCTATGGCGCGTCGACTCTTCCTCCGTCTGTGACTCTCGAGTCAATTGACTCCTCTGTGTCTGTATCTCTGTATCTAATTAGCTAGGGTATATTCTGGCTAGTTCGAGCGATATCGCCACTAGGAAGTAGTGCTTGTCAGGCGGAATGGATTTGGGGCGATGCTACATCCGTTCTCCATCAGTTATTGGAGCGATTGAGTGACTAAACTGAATCATATCCTTCGTATCAGTCGTTTTCTCCAATTGTTCTTGCATACTCGCTTCAGCAACTGGCAGAGAACGGGTTTGGCGCCGTGGCACACTCACACTGCCGGACACGCCCCTTCATCCGCAGCGAACCAGAGTTTATGTGTTAATCTGTGTTGTGTAGCTTGACCCTCCCTCGACCTGTGCACCTCTCGTTTAACCGCGATGCTGAAAATCAGCCGGACGTTATTTGAAGACCGTTTCATTGGTTTCGTTTGTCTTTTTTACTAGTAAATCAAGCAGCACCAACAGTTCCATACGTTGGACACTACTGCCTACCATGTGCAGTCGCGTAACTTGTCCTTGATAACGCTCGTCTTACATGAGACTTGATGACATTCAAAGCCATGGGCACGATGGCGAGGGGCGGGGGTTGTCGTCAACCTTATTGGTGGAAGGCTTGTGTAGGGTGTGGCCGAACGCCATACACACCCCTTCCACCAGCACGCTGGCAACAATCACCTGCCTCTAGCAATCGGGCCAGCTGCCTTTAATTTAGATGAAGAATATTTAGTCATATTAATTCTTGCTTTTACAGTGAATGGTGGCATCAAAAGTGCGGCAATGTAGCTCTGAATGGCTTATACGGAGACACAACAGCGCTGCATCGCAACATGATGTTCGTATATCAAATGTGACGTCAGGCCACAAGAGAAGGGTTATTCATCCTAAGAAGTCCATTATGATGATCAGACGTAAATCATCATTCCTAAACATCTAATTCGCTGTTCTGGTTCCGTCACTTTGCGTAGACCTGCGGCAACCGCTACAGTTGCAACAGCGCTCCAACCCGTAGACGCGAACACAGCCGCAGACGAGAATCAATCGGCGACGCTTGTGTATTGTGAGAGTTAGGGGAACTGGAGGGTATGCGTTGCCTAATCACGCAGGCTGGTATCGATCGCCAGTGTCCGCTGAAGCGGTGCTAACTGATCCCCATGTGTGGCTGCGCTCGCATCTAGAGGGTAGGAGCGCTGTTGCAGTGCGTTACAGCGCGTCGTCGCGCGAAGCCTTAACGCTTCTTATTCAAGTTACACTTTCCCTATTCCTGTTTCTTATTCTCATAATGTCTTTTAAATATGCTGTCTTTCGTCCAAACGAGTATATCAGCATCATATCAAGCGAGCATCGTTACAGGTAATTCCAATATTGTGTGTGTTTTTGTGTAGACATGCATAACTTACCTCCCCGATAGGGGTTGTTGGACATGATGGGCGAGCGTTTCTTCCTGAAAAGCCCCTCATGGTCAGAGGCAGTGGGTCACCCGCATCCTGCTTTAAAGCATAGTTATAGCGAAAATCCTAAGTGAAAGAAGAATCACCCACCTTGTGCAGTTTGAGAACACGGCGCATCTTGGCATAGGAAAGATTTGAGCCTAATATCCCACACCTCCCCCCTTTCTACAAAGAACGACCCTCCCTTTAAATTTCCCCTTCGCCGTTCCTAATTCTACCTACCATCTCAAATTCTCCCAGCTCCTTACCAGCTTCCCGAATTTTTCTTCCAAAATATCCATTTTCTTCTTTGAAAAGACGGTCGCCTATTTCTAGCTACTACTTTCTCAAATTCTGTCAACTCCTTACCAGTTTTCCGAGTTTTTTTTTCCCTCAAACTATTCCAGTTTTTTTTAGAAGAAAAACGCCCGCCTAATTTCACCTACCATCTCAAATTCTTTCAACTTCTACCAGTTTCCCGAATTTTCGTTCCCCAAAATATCCAGTTTTTTTTGAACGGCCGCCTGCTTTCATATGAGAAATGGGCCGCCTGCCTTCATATGAGAAGTGGGGGGGGACAGGGTTGATTGCGCACTTGAAACGGAAAGTACGGAGAATCCCAGCGACGGAAAACCAAAAACACTTCCTTGAAGGCAATTACGACCCCCCAGCAGCGACTAAATACGACCCTCCCCCTTACCTCGCTAGGGTTCCCCAATGTACAACGCGACCTGATTATGATGGATTCGAGCATACTTCAATGCAAAGAAGAAACGTTCCCTATTCCCATAGATTCGGTCAGTCCAATATGTTGCGGTATGAAGATTGACTGAAACTATTCCTTAGCCACTTCTCCTTGCTTTAGTGAAGTTATCTTTCTCCAATTGTTATTTTTTGTTGTTGGTTTTTTGTAGATGTTTTGATCTTTTTCTATGGAGACACTGTGTGAATATGAATATAATAAATTCCTTCTTGTTTTTGTTCGTTGGGACTGAATTGTCATCTTGGGCGCTACGCTACTATGGACACAAATTGTTACAATTTTTGGGGGCCATGGTTTTCGCCAGGAGCAGAGGCAGATCATGTCCCACGTCATCACAATGCTGGTTTCTGGTGAGAGGCAAATTGTACACCCACCTCCGTAGATCCTGGTCCTTGCCGATTGCGAGGTGAATGGCTCCGCAGCTGCAGTAGCATGCCACTTTTCTCAACTTAAGTGGCTCGGAATAGGGCTGGAGAGTCACCGCGCGTAATTTTCGCGTGGTGTTATCTCGCGTTGACGCTTGGTGCGCCTGCCACAGCGCCTCCTAACGCATCAGCCAAGGTGGCTACTTTTCTTACGCCCCTTATTTTGGTTTTTCATACCAAGAGGCACTACAAATAACCGCCTGTTGACTAATCTCTTATGTTGACTGTTTATGAGTATGTTGCGCGCAGATCGACAGGTAGAAAGCGACCTCATTAATGCATGGTCGCGAGGGGCCAAGGGGCGTAGGTAGTGCGTTAGAAATATGAAGCAGAAGTCAGCCTGTGAAAGAAAATGTATAGGGGATGTCGGCAATACGACCCCCCTCCCCCGCCCTCCTAACAATGAGGAAGTACGATCCCCCTTTACAACGTCCGTGAAGCGAAAAAATCAACTATCAAAATAAATTTTTCCCAGCCCAAATACGACCCCCCTCTCCTGGCGACCAAATACGACCCCCCTATTGGGGATTCCCCAACAACGATGTGCCCTGTGCTTTTCACCAATGATGCAGGTTTTTTCAACCTTTCCAGATGGTAGATGCTTTCCGGATGTACTACAGGTGAAGCGCCGATGCTCTTTTATAGCTTTGAGAGGTGGGCGTGGTTCGAAGCGATATTGAAGGAGAGCGCAGAGAAAAAAAATGTGCGGAATTTTTTTAGTGAGCACAGGTCATTAAGGGCACTATGGAAAAAATGCTCGTATTGACACGACCCCCTGTCGCAAGGTGGTATAGACAATACACTCCTTCAATCACGAGTTGTACTAAATTAATTAAGCGAATTACTGGTACTTGTTTCAGCATTGTCGCGGTCGCGTCGCGTATCGTGCTATTCTCTGAATGCAGCAGATCAGGTGCGAGCTCGAATGCATACCCTATTACCCACGATTTGCCCTAACGGGATGTGTTTCCAACTCTAGAATTAATCGACTTTTGGTCAGCGCTTTCTCTCACCGAAGGACTGAGGTAGGAATAGTTCAATGTGTCGAAGATAGAGACTGTAGAAATTCCTCTCAGTAAACAGTGGTTGATCTCAGTAGTGTCATTTATAGGCTTGTCATAGCGCCGAGGCTGTTTCAACTGACGCGTTTGGTATGGCACTGTTTTCATGTATAAATTGCTGTAGGGCATGATGGTTTGCCAGAAATGTTTTGTCACCTCGGTGGCAAAATGATTGCGCCAAAAATCAACCCACAGATCCCTTCGTGTGAGCTATGTACGATGAACGTCCCAGTTGGCGATATTTCAGCGCGTAAAGTCGTCCAGTTAGGGAATACTCTTTTAATTTACGTGCAATGCCACGCCTCAGACGCCATGAACTACACCTCGCACTTTTGCACCATTCTGTGCTTTGACACGCCATCCTCATTCGCCTCCGCATTTTCCTTTCGCAGTTGGACCTGCACAAGAAACTCGAACGGTGCCATCATGGGTTTTCTTGCCCATGCGTAATTTTTTTCTTTTCAAATATTTTTTGTTTCTCATCTCCATTGTAATGCAGCCAGGACACTTGCGCATTCACTTGGTGTCTTTAACTTTTGTACATTTCTGGTCTCTTGGGCTTATTTGCCGTGCGGGTAAATGTTTATGTTTTTCGTAACAGTTATTGTTCAAGTGCTTTTAGCCCTCTAACGACATCCAAAAATCATGAGGGATAATAGGAATGATTATAAAACGCATAAACGTGACACATGAACTGGACCCGTGCATTGCTGCTCAAAGCCGTTTGGAGCCAACTTTCTGCACAAAATGGCAAGTTCATTTGTCTTTTCATCTATCAATAAAATACTTCACACCGGAAGATTTCCCTTGAAATGTAGGTGGAAATCTTATGTAGCGCAAACAGTGCATTGGAAAACAATGGAGGTAATGGTGCACCGGTGCTGAAATAGTTAGTAAGGCCACGCGGCAGCGCCTCTGCCGCCCTTTGGTTAGTCCAGGTTCAAGGGTAGAGCGACCAGATTCACCTTCGAGTATGTTATAGAATACAGACTGTTCGCGCACACTCCGAAAACGATTCTTTTCATGTGCAAGGTAAACAGGTTCGCAGCTGCAGTAATGCGCCACTTTTTCCGCTCAAATGTGAGGGAACGCCACTGTAGGGTAGTGAAAGCCAAGTACCGACCCCATGCTCCGCCCTTGTTATCCTCAACGTGCGCTCATTGGGAGCGAGGATCCCGCACTCAGCCATGAAGAACAAGCAGAATGAGAGTGCGCAGGCATGTAGCGCGTTTGGCTATGGTTAGGCGTGCGGAT